CTGCCGTGGCCGCCGGGAACACAGTGTAAACGCAGCATAACTTGTCACCGTCATATGCGAACGCGTGCGTGTTTGTGCGCGAACAAGCGAGCGAGCGTGCGTTCCTTTTGCGCGCGCGTATTTGAAGAATTTCGTTAACATTAATATTGATATACGCGCTTATTAAGTCTGTCTCAATAGAGGTTGCATTGTATCATTATATTTTAGCTAGCAGTATCGCGTCGCATCGATATGTTGTAGAATTAAGCCGCGTATTATGAGAACCGACCATCTAATATTTGCTTGCTTTAATTGTCACACGAATATTCACGATCATAACGGCACACCACTACACTCAGTGCCTACTGTCTATACAGTGGATTAGAGCGATGCCATCAGGACAACTTAATCTCTTAGCATTATGTGGTCATGACGTCATCGACTATGAGAGAGATTAAACTGATTAACTGGGGGGGGGGGGGCTCAGCATACCCGGGGGACACGTCCGATCCACGCGTAAATAATCATGTACGCGAAATCAATGAATATATATATATATAATTATATATATATATATGTGTGTGTGTGTGTGCGCGCACGCCTGTGTGTGTGTGCGTGCGTGCGTGAGTGTGTGTGTGCGTGCGTGCGTGTGTGTGCGTGCGTGCGTGCGTGTGTGTGTGCGCGCGCGCGAGTACGTGTCTGTGTGTAACACTGAATATATAATAATTATAGAGAGGGATGTAAACTGAGACCCTATGGAACTATGGAACGAGAGCAAGTAATGATTGAGAGAGCGAAAGAGAGAGAAACATAGGGAAGGGGAGAAGCGAAAGCGGTAGACAATGGAGCGAAAATAGAAAGCGAGAAAACGAGGGAGATGGTGTGTAGAAACCAAACAGAAAGGGAAAGCCAATAATGAAGCGAGGGACGTGGAGTGTGTACGCGTGGGGGATGGCACACGTAATTAAGGCATCAGAGGATTGCATCTCATTAACTCCTCATGCTATCCATGCTCGCGTTGTCACATAAATCGCCATAGCTTCTGATATTGATGATGCCAAGATGGATAAGCCAAAGTGGCTGGGCACCCTGCTTCGGGAATGAGTTTGGAGCCTTACCTAGTTTAGATATCCGATATACGTAGATGCAATGCAGTTATGGATCGACCTCGCTAGGAATGAGGTAAGCGAGAACAATTAACGACAAGGTGTTGTTGCTGAGACACCTTCACACCGCGTATGTCCGTTCAACTCCTTCCCTGTTAGCTAGCATCACTCCTCAGTATCTTACAAGTTCAACCGCCTCATTGTTGATCTTCCCTGTTAGCTAGCATCACTCTTCAGTATCTTACAAGTTCAACCGCCCTCATTGTTGATCTTCCCTGTTAGCTAGCATCACTCTTCAGTATCTTACAAGTTCAACCGCCCTCATTGTTGATCTTCCCTGTTAGCTAGCATCACTCTTCAGTATCTTACAAGTTCAACCGCCTCACTGTTGATCTTCCCTGTTAGCTAGCTTCCTTGTTCAACTGATTTCCTCTTAGATAACTTCTCTGTTAGCTAGCTTCACAGTGCAGCTACCCTGTTAGCTAGCATCACAGCACAGCTACCCTGTTAGCTAGCATCACAGTACAGCTACCCTGTAAGCTAGCATCACAGTACAGCTACACTGTTAGCTAGCTTCACAGTACAGCTACAGTTAGCTAGCTTCACAGTACAGCTACACTGTTAGCTAGCTTCACAGTACAGCTACACTGTTAGCTGGCTTCACAGTACAGTTACCCTGTTAGCTACTTCACAGTGCAGCTACCCTGTTAGCTAGCTTCACAGTACAGCTACCCTGTTAGCAAATAGATAGCTTCACAGTACAGCTACACTGTTAGCTAGCATCACAGTACAGCTACCCTGTTAGCTAGCTTCACAGTGCAGCTACCGTTAGCTAGCATCACAGTACAGCTACCATGTTAGCTAGCTTCACAGTACAGCTACCCTGTTAGTTAGCATCACAGTATAGCTACCATGTTAGCTAGCTTCAAAGTACAGCTACCCTGTTAGCTAGCTTCAGTGCAACTACCCTTTTAGATAGCTTCACAGTACAGCTACCCTGTTAGATAGCTTCACAGTACAACTACCTTGTTAGATAGCATCACAGTACAGCTACGCTGTTAGCTAGCTTCCCAGTGCAGCTACCCTGTTAGCTAGCATCACAGTACAGATACCCTGTTAGCTCGCTTCACAGTACAGCTACCCTGTTAGCTGGCTTCACAGTACAGCTACCCTGTTAGCTGGCATCACAGTACAGCTACCCTGTTAGCTAGCTTCACAGTACAGCTACCCTGTTAGCTAGCATCACAGTACAGCTACCCTGTTAGCTAGCATCACAGTACAGCTACCTTGTTAGTTAGCTTCACAGTACAGCTACCCTGTTAGCTAGCATCACAGTACAGCTACCCTGTTA